CAGGCGCTGATCTTGCTGCTGTGCTGGGAGGCCTCCCCAGGAAGGCAGGCATCTGCCCACCTTCATCTCTTAAAGACGGCCCATCAGGGTGCTGGGTACTTCTGAGTGCAGAGGGAACCAGGTGTGATCCTTGCCCTGGAGCGGAGAAGCAGAGAGGAGGAGGGAGAGGAGATGGGGTGCACAGGCTTCTTCTCTCACTCTTGCCCAAGGTATTGCCACCTCCCAGGCTTGGGACACTCCCTGCCTCTCCCCTCCTCCAACTCTACCGTCTCCCCAGGTGATCCCAGTGTCCCAGCTTCATCACCTCCTCATGTCATGGCCTCACCCTTCCCACTAACAGTCAATGCCCACTCACCTCCCAGTTATTTTTTAGAATGTGTTTTTGTTGATTTGAGAGAGAGAGAGAGAGAGAGAGAGAGAGAGAGAGAGAGAGAGAGAGAGAGAGAGGAGATCTTGATAGGTTGGCTACTGCATGCCCTCCACTAAGGATCAAGCCCGAAACCTGAGTGTGGGAACCACTTTCATGACCCGCATGGTTCAGGGTTCCGGTTCAGGGTTTGGGTTCTAGAGAAGGCCGCACACAAATGAAAAGAGACTAGAAAAGTGTTCATTTGGGAACATTGGTGGCCAGGGAGGAGCCCATCTCTAGTGGGCCTCGCCATCCCTTTTATTCAGGTTTGGGATCCACCCATTGCCCTGAAGTAATTCCAATAACAGGCAGATTATTTTATCAGTAAGGATTTACGTTATTTGGTGGGGAAGTTGACTCAGTTGCCATTTTCTCAACTAGATAGGGAGTGGTTGGCTCTGTCCTTTCAGAGCTTCAAAGTTGACTAGCCTTCCACATCTTTCTATTAGTGAGACAATGATGGGTTTCTGGCACCTGGGCATGTGCCCCGACTGGGAATCAAACCAGCGACCCTTTCATGCATGAACCAACGCTCAACCGAGCTGCACCGGGGCTCAATCATTTTTATTTTTTTAAATATATTTTATTGATTTGTACAGAGAGGAAGGGAGAGAGATAGAGAGCTAGAAACATCGATGAGAGAGAGTCATCGATTAGCTGCCTCTTGCACACCCCCTACCGGGGATGTGCCCGCAACCAAGGTACATGCCCTTGACCGGAATCGAACCCGGGTCCCTTCAGTCCCCAAGCCGACGCTCTATCCATTGAGCCAAACCGGTTTCGGCTCAATCATTTTTAATTTTAAAAAATGGAGGCCTACCCCTAACTGGTTTGGCTCAGTGGATAGAGTGTCGGCCTGCGGACTGAAAGGTCCCAGGTTTGATCCCTGTCAAGGGCATGTACCTTGGTTGCGGGCACATCCCCAGTAGGAGGTGTGCAGGAGGCAGCTGATCGATGCTTCTCTCTCATTAAGGTGCATCACTTACCTTGCCAGACACAAACTGTGTGTATCTTCTGTGTGCTTGGTAGCTGCCTTTATTTTATTTTATTTATTTATTTATTTATTTATTTTTTTAACTGCCTTTTTTTTTTTTTTTAGATCTGCAAACTCCATCGATGTTATGTGTCTTGCTGCTTAAGGTCATTACGCTGTATGGAGCAGCCACCATTTATCCACCCATTCTCCTGTTGGTGGACATGGGGTTGTTCTCTGGATTTTTGTCAACTTGAATGAATCTTTTGTAAACATCCCTGTACCAGTCTTTTCGTGGACACAGCTCTCTGGTGTGTGTACCCAGGGGTCGGGTTACTGGGTCAGAGGGCGAGCCTATTCAATGAAGAACACATTGTTGTTGTGGCTGTGAGTTCCTTTCACGGGCTGCTTCCGCTGGTTGCCTCTGGGCTGCCTTCGGGGTGCTCACATCTGTATTACCTCATTTTGTCCTCACCAGACCCGGGGATGCAGGCCAAGCAAATAGTCTCAGCAAACACTATCACCACCCTGACGTGGCACAGCCACCTGCAGGGGTTCAAGGTTCAAGTTCAGGGGGGCTCAAAGCGCTGGGAGAGGAGCTGGAAGCGCAGAACGCCGAGATTACAAAACCGTTTCCTATGGGAAATGGCAGCTGAGCTCCAAAAAGTCTCACACACTTTTGGACCAGAACCTGCTGGGAGCTGCCAGCAAGGAAGAGTCTGGCAAGAGAGCGAGGGCTCAGCTGGGCTCCTGGCAGGCGCAGAGGGCTTTACCAGTCTTATGTTATTTCGTTCCCCCTCTTTAGGTTGGACAATGGTATTGCGGTCATGTTTTAAACAAAGAACCCTTATCTTTTAGAGATTTGTACTCAAGAGCTTGTGGGCAAAAGCAAACACCTTGGCCCTAGCTTTATAGCTGTTGAACCTGAGTTTTGGTTATATAGGATTTACCTATATACAAATAGGCTATTCTCAGTAATTTTTAATTTTTAAATTTTTCTTTTCTTTTTTTAAAAAAGTATATTTTATTGATTTTTTTTACAGAGAGGAAGGGAGAAAGATTGAGAGCTAGAAACATCGATGAGAGAGAAACATCGACCAGCTGCCTCTTGCACACCCCCTACCGGGGATGTGCCCGTAACCAATGTACATGCCCTTGACCAGAATCGAACCTGGGACCTTTCAGTCCGCAGACCGACGCTCTACCGCTGAGCCAGACCGACTTCGGCAATTTTTAAATTTTTCCATGCAAAGATATTTTTAGAGTAAAGGGGGGGTGGATCTCTTAGTGATAATAAAAATATTAATATATGCATTAGAACACGTTTAAGGTTTCTTTATAGCCACAATAAGCAGCTGCTCAAGTATGTTTGTTTCACACTGGGGAAGAATTGGAGAGAAAAAGAAATTTAAGAGACTTCCTTCGTTTCTGAGGCTGGCTGGGACATTTTGGTGTGGGGAGAGGGAGCTCAGGATGGGACCTGGCTCACAGCTCCCCTGGGGCCCAGTTCCTGGGCCTGCAATGGTGCCTCCTGGGCGCGGCTGGAATTGCCGCCCGCCCGCCGCCCCAAGCTGGGCCACTGGGGCACAGGTGAGAGGCGCCCTGTGGGTGCGGCTGAGCTCTGACCCACCGCTAGGCCTGCAGGTGGCAAGGAGGCGGCGCTCAGGGAGGGAGGGGCGCAGCCAAGGCGGAAGAGCCCTGGGAACACACCGGGCGCCCGGCCAATCCCAGCGGGGCGCCTGACGAGCTTGGAGCGAGGGAGAACATGACCTTGGGACGGGACCTGCAGGCAGCGGGTTTCCAGGGAGAGGAAGGAAGGGCATTGGAAATGAGGGTGGCAGTCCAGCTCCCGAGGCACAAACCTGGAAGGCCTAAGGACAGGAGGAGGCAGGCAGGTGGCCCCGGAGGCAGCTGCGGTGCAGCCGCGGGTGGCAGGTGTGCTCTGGCCGGGATCACCTGCCTTCCCCTGAGCGCAAAACCTGGGGGGAGAGGATGGGAGAGGAGAGGGTCGGGGCCAACTTTTAACTGCAAAGAAATGCAATTTAAAACAAGGAGGGATCTCTACCGCCACCTTTGGTTTTGGCAAAGATTTTTAAAGGGGGTAAGACAGCTTGCGCAGTGAGATCCTGGGGTTCCTATAGCTTTTCTAAAGGGCTGCCCGCACTACAGTGTTACCAGAACGTCTCATGTGCTTGCCCTTGACCTGGCTGCTTCACTAATAGGGATTTAGAGAGAGAAACCACTACCACATCCGGGCCAAGGCAGCTTTATTTCTACCCGCCCTGGTGAGAAGGGGGGAGGGGCTCAGTCCAAGCGGTGGGATAAACACTATGAAAAGCGTGGGCATCTCGGAGCCTCGACAGGAACTCTGTCCACGACAGAAGCCGAGTGAAAACACAAGTTTTGCAAGCAGCCCGGGTCCTATGACGTGGCTGAGAACAGCCCGGACCGCGTGCACCAGCCGTCAGCTGTGGCCGTGGCGGCGGGAACCGATGGGGACTTTCATTTTCTCCGCCAAATCCTTGTGCGGTAACCGCCCAATAATTCCGACAGAGAGACAGGGGCAAGCGTGGACTTTCCACACCACAGGGAGGGAGTGACCTTTAGGAGAGCCGAGGCTTTGTTCATGCACAGGTGCACTTATGGGGCGCCTGCTGTTTGCACACCACCAGCTCGGGCCGGGAGGGGAGGGGAGGGGGCTGGCCCTGGGAAGCGCGGGACCCTGGCTGCGGGCGCTTCCTGGATCCCGGAGATGGGCCGGCGCGGCAGCCCCTCTCCGGAGCGGGCGCAGGAGTCTGGGCCTCTCTGTCACCATCTCCTGCCACTCCTTTCCTGGCATGCACCAGGCTGTTTAATTCCTTTATGAAATTTCACCAAAGCCTCTCAAAAGTGTTTTTAATCCTGTAAGTTGAGGAGGGCCCCTCGAGCCACGTCGTATCAGCCGTCCCTGGGGCGGTGTGTGTGTGTGTGTGGGGGTGGATAAGGTCCCATTTCGTGCGTGGGCCCTGGAGTCAGCCGGGAGCCAAGGTCGGTTGGATCTATCTTCTTTTTTTTTTTTTAAAAAAATACATTTTATTGATTTTTTTAAAGCGAGGAAGGGAGGGATATTGAGTTAGAAACATCGATCAGCTGCCTCCTGCACACACACCCCCCACCGTGGATGTGCCCGCAACCAAGGTACATGCCCTTGACCGGCATCGAACCCGGGACCCTTCAGTCCGCAGACTGATGCTCTATCCACTTAGCCAAACCGGCTTCGGCGGGATCCATCTTCTTAGTTGTGTGATCGTGGACACCTTAGTGACTCCCCGGTCCCCTCCCCGGGCTGATATGGGCTATTTATAGGGCTGCCCTGAGGATTACACAGGGCGATAGCTCTAAGGGGCGAGCAGGAGCTGGGCGCGTGCTCAGCGCTTTGATGAGTTGGCCCACTTTTCAGAGGAGGCAGCTGAGGCTGGTAGCGTGGGGAATCTTGCTCTAGGCTCCGGGCTGGTGAAACCTAGAGCTGAGCGCCTGGGAGAGCCTCAGTTTCCCCACCTGACGCGCTCCCTCCCCGGGACGCCCCGGCCAGGCCCCGCCCCCGGCCCGCCGGGCGCCCGGAGGCTCCGCCCTCCCCCGCCGCAGCCAATCGGCGGCGGCGGCGGCGGCGGCAGTAGCCGTGCCCGCGGTCCCCCAGCTCCCGGCGCCGGGTCGCTGCTCGCTCACTTCGCCGCCGCTGCCGCCGCCGCCGCCGCAGCCCCCGCCGCGCTCCGTCCCGGACTCGGTAAGGCCGGGCCGAGGCCGGGCGCCGGGGGGAGGGCTGGGAGCGCTGCGGGGGTGGAGGCGGCGGGCTCCAGGGCGGGGAGCGCGCGGGGACTGCCGTGGCCCGGACGCAGGCGGGGGAGTGGGGGGGTCCGCCTTCTGAGCCTGGACCCGGAGGGGAACCCCCAGGATCCCTCTTGGACAACGGGGTCAGTAGAGAACCCCAAACCGGAGCGGGGCAGCGGCTCCCCAACTCCCCCCCCCCCCAATGGATTGGTCTGGGGGTCGATCCTCCCGGGGGTCTGTCTGCACGCGGGCAGGTTCCGCGCTGCGGCGGGAGGGATGCTGCTCGGCGCTCCGGACTTGGCCAGACGCCACGGGCTCGGGGCCAGCGGGCCGCCAGCGTCCTTCCCCGCCCCACCTCCACCCGCTCCCTGGGAGGGGAATGGGTCTGGGGGTGCGCCCGCCGGTCGTCGATCCCCAGGCAGGTACCGTTCAGGAGCTAGAGAGGGGGGCACGCTTGGTGTTCCGGGCGTGGGCCGGGCGACTCCGGCCTGGAGATAGTCGGGCCGCGGCTTTCTTCGCCCACCGTCTTCCGAACCCACCCTGCGGAGTGGATTGGTTAGGTCTGGGGTACCCCAGTCCATGCGGGAGGCAGGGGACCCTAGGTCCTCGGACCTCCGAGGGGCACCCCAGTCCCCCCCACTCTCCGCGCCCCCCCCCCCCGCAGTGCAGCCTCCAGGACACGCCCTTGGCGCGGGCGCCCCACGCATGGGTCCTGCAGGCCGGTCTGAGCGCCCGCAGCGGCCCGGATAGAGGGCTGGACCGGTGTCTCCGCCTGCGAACACCCATCCCTCCGGGCCATGCGGGTTCCGGGGCAGGTGGGGGTGCAGAACCTGCCCAGGGTCGCGCAGGACCGGGAGCTGCGGTGCCGGTGTGTGTGTGTGTGTGTGTGTGTGTGTGTGTGTGTGTGTGAAGGTGGGGGGACGGCATCACGTGACCAGGACCCACCGGGCCTGCGAGTTGGTCGCGGGCGAGTCCCTAACCCCAACTTCTCCCCCCACCCCCCGCGAGGCCCCTGCTAGTTTGTTTCGTTTTGTTCGCCGGGCTGTGTGTGTGTGTGTGGGTCCGCGTCTTTACAATGTAAATGGTGGCTGGCTCTCCTTACAGACCTAGAGAACAAAGATGACGACCGATTTTACTTTCATTTCTTTTTTAACACCGTCGGTGAAACATGCCAAGTAATTCCCCAGGTTGAAGACAGGCTTGCAGTCCCCCTGGGGCTCCGTGGATTATGAAAATACCCAAGGACAGATTTTTAGTAGAAAACCGGTAACTTTGTAAGTGACCGAAGGAAATGGAAATCAGTTGAACCTTTTGAAACGTGTCTTTTGTTACACCGTTTTTCTTTGCACAGGCGTCCGATTTCTGGTCATTCCAGATATTCAAGCATGTTTATTTCCTTATAAACCGCATGAATAAAATATGGCCGAACTCGCTGGTCTTTTATTGATGCCAGCCAGCGTCGCCCGCCCCTCACCCAGTCGCTTAAGGTGACTTGCAAGCGGGAGCGCCGCACAGATAGGAGGCCGGGGAGGCTGATAGCGCCGGCGGTGGAGGCCAGGGAGTATCTGGAGCCGCCGCGTCTGATTGGGACGGAATGCCGCATTGGGACCCGGGTCTGTCTGTGTGTCCTGCGGCTCTGTTTGCCAGCAAACGCCCGGTGTCCTCCCCGGGCAGCGAGGTCCCGCTGGACCTTGCACATTGATCGCCCTCCGAGAAGCTGTTTTTTGCACCAGAAACAGGGCCGGCCAGGGTTAGGAGCGCGCATACTTTGAAACTGGCATCGTGCACAGGTCAACATAACCTTTCGAGGATGTACTGAACGCAAACGGCCTAGCCCCGGGGGTGCCGAGAAGAAACCGGGTGCCGCTAAGCCCTTGGCCTTGGCTCGGCCCAGTGCTCACGGAGAGCGGCCAAGCCCGGGCCTGCCGGGAGTCCCGGGGCGCAGGCCGGCGCTTACGCAACCCCGGCCCGGCGTGCTCATTCATAGAAACGCCGTTAATTAGGCTTTCCGGGTGCGTCCCGGCGAGCCCCTTCCGGACGCGCTCCCGGCGCGCGGGGGCGCGGGGCTGCGTTCCCGGTGTGGGATGCCCCCGGGCACACCGAGTTCCTATCTGCCCCCGAGGCTGAGCGCACGCAGGCCTCGGCCTCCGGAAGAGGCACCGCGTTCCGCTCGCCGTCGCCCGGGTGGCAGCGCCGGCGACGCGCGCCCGAGAGCCGAGGCAGGTCTCCGGAGGCGCGGCGGGTGGAACAGGATCTGAGCGCCCGGGGCGCGCCGGGCCGGGGGCGGGGCTCCCGCTAACCTTTCCCCTACTTTTTCTCCGCCGTCACGTGACCCCGCGGCGGGCGGGGGAGGGGCGGAGTGTTTGGGGCGCCGCTGCTGGCAGAGCCTTGGAGGACGCTTTCCAGTGGAGCAATTAGGCGCGGCCCGAGCTCCGGAGGCGGTGGGAAGAAGGTGGGAGGCGGAAACGCGCGCGCCCGCTCCGGCCCCGAGCTGGTTCTGCACTTTGATCAGGAGCATTTTTTTTTTTTTTTACCCCTTGTTGGGGAAAAAAAAATGTTTAGTCACTCTGCATGGTTATTATTGGCAGGCCAGTGTTTTGTTGCCGATGGGAGCCTGGACTTGAATTCCCCGAGAAGTGTGCTTTTGAGAGTAACATTGTTATTCAAACTAGTGTGTTTAAAGTGTGTTTCAGAAATAACCTTCACGGTGGACGGAGGTTTCTACTCTCTTTGAGTGGCTTCAGCCAGGTCTTTTCTCGTTTCAAGATAAGTAAGTCCAAGGACAGGGTGCATGGGGGGTGGGGTGCAGAGTCGGCCTCCTCACTCGGGGTACCCTCTGCAGAACACACCACTGTTCCCCAGTTTCTCTGATGATTCCAGAAATAATCGAGGCAGTACAGGGAGTGCTTAAAAAAACAACAACTGTTACTTAACACCAGTAAGGAATGTTTTCTGCTGTTGGTTGGTAATACTTTGTTGCCTAAAAGGTGAACTTCACCTTTTACCCCAAACAAATACCAGGTGGATGCTGGGTTCCCAGCAGGCCCTGGACTCTGGCCAACGAGACCTGTTTGGGTGACTGGGAGCCTCAGAGTTACAGAATGTCCAGCTTTGCTCGTGTGTGTGGGTGACTGGGAGCCTCAGGGTTGGGAATGCCCACCTTTGCTCCTGTGCGTGTTATTTTTATGTCCTGCGCTAGTGTTCCCTGGAAGTTGATCATTGAAAGAAGTGGTGTGAGTGTGAGGCCTGCCCCTCCCGGTTGAATGGCAGGGTGGCCACTGGAGGGTTGGGAAAGAGGCTGGCTACTGCCCTCCTTCCCAAGGATTACCGACTAATGGTTGGCGATCTTTAGGCCAGTGGTGGGCAAACTGAGGCTCGCCAGCCACATGCGGCTCTTTTGGCCCCTTGAGTGTGGCTCTTCCACAAAATACCACAGCCTGGGTGAGTCTATTTTGCAGAAGTGTTGTTAGAAGAAGTTTTAAGTTTAAAAAAATGTGGCTCTCAAAAGAAATTTCAATCGTTGTCCTGTTGATATTCGGCTCTGTTGACTAATGCTCTCGGTAATAAGGGAAAGAATCTCCCATGCTCCTCATGGGGTCATTCACCCCCCTCCCCCACCCGTCCCGGGAACCGGAGGGGCCCTGGGTGCCCTCCGACTGTCTCTCCAGCCCACCTGCCACTTCTGCCTCCTAATGGCCCCTAAACTGGCCTTCCTCCCATTTCCCTGAGCCAGAGCAGCATTTGGATATTTGTCTGGAGGATGTTTGCGCAAACCATCTGTCCCCGGATTGCTGCGACCCCCTAAGGTGGTGGGGGTCCTTCGGGGCGCAGGAAGTTGGTGCCCGGTCAGGCAGAGGCAGTGGAAGCTGCTGGCTCCTTCCTAGCCGTGCACCTTGCTTTACCCTGTCACTGTGATCAGGGGCGTCTGGTCAGGGTACGAGTGAGCTCATTCATTCCCCACACCAAAGGGGACAGCTCCGCTCTCGCTCTCACCAGTCCTGGCTTCCTGAGGGGCTCCGCACACGCACAGCATTCCGAAGGCTGTGTTGTCCTTTCCGTTTCTGAGGTTTTAAGTTAGGGGTTGATTTGCTCTTTAGAATCCTTCGCCCCTTGTTAAAAAAATGAATGCATGTAGCCCTCACTGGTTTGGCTCAGTGGACAGAAAGTGTGTCAGCCTGCAGACTGAAGGGTCCCGGGTTCCATTCCAGTTAGGGGCACATGCCCAGGTTGCGGGCTCAATCCCCAGTGTGAGGTGTGGAGGAGGCAGCTGATCCGTGATTCTCAGCGTTGGTATTTCTATCTCTCCCCCCTCTCCCTTCCCCTCTGAAATCAATACATACACACACATATGCATATATATATATATATATATATATACACACACATGTATGTATTTATTTATTTTTTAAAGATAATGCATGCTTTGTGTTAAAAGCAAACATAAAATAACCCTACTTTTAAGGAATTGTCATGTGCTCTAAACTCTTTGCTTCTTCTTTTTTTTAAATATATTTTATTGATTTTTTTTTTTTTACAGAGAGGAGGAGAGAGGGATAGAGAGCTAGAAACATCAATGAGAGAGAAACATTGACGAGCTGCCTCTTGCACACCCCCTACCGGGGATGTGCCCGCAACCAATGTACATGCCCTTGACCAGAATCGAACCTGGAACCTTTCAGTCCGCAGACCACTGAGCCAAACCAGTTTCGGCTAAACTCTGCTTCTTATGGAAGAATTCCACATTTCTAAAAGTAGGTGTTTGCCACTGATTCCCCAGGTGTTAGCTCCTCCACTGCCCTTAAAAAGATTTAATGTGCACAGTTTGGGTTTCTTTCTACCTTCTCAAGCACACCTGGAGTAATAGGAGGTACAGTGAGGAATATGTAAAACAAATCAGCAACGCTGCAAAAAGTTAATGTCCACCGAGACATCACCTGTGGGTACTGAGAGAGGAAG